GGTTGACTTGGATGTTGTTGAGTTTGTAAAGTTGTTCAACATCTTTAAGTAGTTGTTGTAGGCAGTCTTTGTTTTCACAGTGCCATACAGTATCATCTATATATGCTAGTGGAGGGATAGTGATTTGTGAAGGATGTATGTTTTGAATTTGTTCGGTAGGAGATAATGCTTGGATTTTAAGAAATGAGTTTTGATATTTGTTATTTATATATATTAGAATAGAATCATAGTAGATTTTCCAGAAAAGTGGAAAGTATGTTTCTCCTTGTTCAATTCCAGAGAAAAGTGTGATAGGGTCTGTCAAACCGTATGCTGTTATGACTCTTGCTTTCTGATCTTGATGTAAATTTGTTATGAAGTTTATACCTTGTTGAGGCATGCCTATTCTTTTGTACGCTTGTGCAAGGTGTTGAATATTGATTTTATCAAAAGCTTTGGACATGTCTTGGAAGAGTATCCAAGCCTCTTTGTTGTTATGTTTATAGTGTTCAATTGTATTGTGTAAGATCTGAATTGGTGTGTGTGTAGAAACATTAGGTGTTGCAGCAAGTTAAGATTACTAAGGAGATTGTTTTGGTTAATTATTTGGTCGAGTCTTTGTGTGAAAATTTTGGTTAAGCATTTTTTTAAGGGTTCTATGAGTGAGATTGGGCGGACTTGATCTAAGGTATAGTCCCAGGTTGATTTTTTTGGGATGAGAAATATATTAGATATTTTCCAATCTGTAGGTATTAATTGTAGTTGTAGGCATTTAGATAGAAGGAGTCTGAGTATTCTTTAACTTTGTTGTGATGCAAGTTTAATATGTTCGTAGTTGGTGCCAGAAAGACCTGGGGCTTTTTGGTTAGATAGTTGGTTTATAGTTTTGGTCCATTTGTTATCAGAAATTTCTGAAAGAAGGTTGTTATAGTGTGTCTCAAGTTCAGGTTGTGGTTTGTATAAATCATAAAAGTCAGATTCAGGAGGAATAGGTAGAAGAGGTTGTTGTTGAAAGTAGTTTTGGAAGTGTTGTTGAGTGGCTTCTTTAATATCTTTGGGATTTGTTAATAAAGAGTCCTGAAGAAGAAGCCTGTCTAAGTTAGTATTATTATTATATCTTTCAAGAACTTTCTTGAAAAATAGTTTGGGGTTTTCAGTGAAGTTTAAGTTCCTTTCTTGAAGTTTGTTTGAGATTTCTTGTTGTGTTTGTTTTCTGTTTTCTTGATCTAATAGTGTTTTTAAGTTCTTGGTTTCGGTTTTGAGAAGATTACGGAGGGATGATAGATGAGAGTTAGATAGGGTATTAGGAGTTAATAGTGTATTGTTTTGAAATTTTTGGTAGTATTCATGAAGGTAGTTAGGAAGGTTAGGTGATTTAAGTGATTTTTTGATTTTTACAAGTGCTTTGTATTGAAGGAAAGTGTATGTATATTTGATTTTTTTGGGTAGATTGTTTTCTCTTGTTAGGATTTATTTTTTTGTATGGATGTATTTGTTGGCTGCTTTTATAAAGGATTTGTTAATAATTTTCCAAATTTCATCTAAGTCTTGTTGATTTTGGATTTGTGTGATTTGGTTTTTAATTTTTTTAAGATTTCTGTCTAGGTGGTTTTGATATTTTCTATTTGTTCAGCATTGTATGCTTTCAAAGAGTTATTTTCCGCTTGGGTTGTTTGTGAAGTAATATCAAAGCAGCAGATAAAGTAATTTCTAAGAGAGTGATATTGTGGTCTGAGTCTGTGGGAGTTTTATCTAAGATATCTGCATAGTCTAAGGTGGTTATATGAAGGTTTGTCCAAATTTGGTCTATTCTACTTTGATGATCTTTGTGATAGCAAGTAAATTTTGAAAGGTCAGCGTGAAAGATTCTAAAGGTGTCATAGAAATTTGGTTTAAGGTATTTAATTAGTGGGGATTCTGAAGATTGGGTTTTTTTTGGTGGCAATCGGTCAATTTTAGGATTTGGTGTTGCATTAAAATCTCCTATATAATAATTTTATAGTTGGTTTTTTGAATAAGAAGAAGTGTTTGTTCATATATTTCTTTTTTTAAGGTTTGTTTTTTTTTGATTAGAAAATATAGTTATATAAGTCGGATAGGATAATTTGGTAAAGATAGGTCTATGGAAAGGATATAACCTTTGTATTCTTGTATTTTACTAATAAACCTAGAGAGATTTTCATGTATTAAAAGATCTGGTGTTGTCAGCTTCACTCCAGAGGTTAGTATAATTTGAAAGGTTTTGACTTAATGAGAGTAGTTTAGCATCTTTGACACTTAGATGAGTTTCAGAAAGGCTAAAAATGTTTATTTGGTTCTCAGTAATAAAGTTGTGAAGTAAGGTTTGTTTGGAGTAAGACAGTCCATTTGTATTAAGAAAGCAGATTTTAATTTGTTCAAGTGTAAAGGAAGGTTGGTCTGAAATATTTTGAGTTGTGTTAAGTATGTTTAGAGGTTGATTTGTATAGTAGTTTTCAGAAGAAGTATGTGGTGGTGTAAGTGAAAGGTCTGTTTCATTAGTCAGAAGAGGGTTATTTTCGGAATTTAGTAAAGGTGATGAGGTAGTTAAAAAAAGATTTGTTAGTGTGTTGGGTGTAATGTAGCTATTGGGTGTAATGTAGCTATTGGATTTAAGTGTGATATTATGATAATGCTTTAGAGCTTCTCTAGGTGGAACGAAGTGATCTGGTAATGGTTTGGATTCGAAAGGTAGATATATATGTGCTTTGAAGTAGTCTTTTTTAATAGAGATAGTAAGAGTATAAATATGTGAGTTTTCTAAATTATATTCGAAAAGACTAAGATAATTAAGAAAGGAAATAATAGTTTGTGGTTCAGGTAGTGTTGGTAGGTTGTGATATCTGAGAAATCTGTTATAGCAAAGATGTGATAAATGTGGAAGAGGTCTTGGATTTGGATCAGTGATGTATTCAGTATTATAAAGATTGAGACAGACATTTTGTGCAAAATAAAAGTATGGATTGTAAGTACAGTCATCTTTAACCATATTAGGAATAGTTACTGTGTTAAGAGAGTTGATGTTTGATATAGTAGAGAGAGAATAAAAGGAAGGTATTTGTAGCTTTCAACTGGTGTTATAAAATAACCATGTCGTTCAAAGTTATGGACAGACCAGGGATAGACATAAGCAATACTTTAATTAATAGATTAAATTTAAGGTTATATATATTATTAAGGTTGTAGTTGAAGGATTCAAGGTGTTTAATGAAAGAGTTGATCATTTGTGGGTACAGAAGTGTAGGAAGATTGCAGGATAGTAGAATCTTATTGTAATATGTGTTGGGATTGTATAAAATTATGTGTGGTTCATTTATATAAAAGGTGTTTGTATGATCAGTCTGTTGAGTTGTCTTATCATAGGGGGCTAAAGATGTTGAAAATGATTTGCTAGTATTACAAGTGTTTTCTACAGAGTTGATTGCCGTTTCAAGCTCGGTTTTCACAACTGCATAGGATTCCATAGTCTGCCCTATACATTGGATCTAACTGTCATATAAATGGTCCTCCGCATAAATGGGCTTGCCTGCCCGCCCACTTACATCATTTTCCTTACCAACTACAATGGATGTCTTATTTGGTAAAGTGGTGGCTGCATCTATGATTGTAGAAGACAGAATTATTGAAAAGGGGTCTCTTGAAGAAAGAGTGATTCTTCAATGAAAGTTGAAATTTGAAAAGTGATGTTAAATTTTTCCCAGAGACATTTGTCTGCTTCAGAGTAGACGATTTCTTGGTAATGTTTAACTATCTGGGAGTATGTAAGACGTTGATCATAATTATCAAGTCGGGTTATGACTCTTGTGAGAGAGTCAGTACTAATAGGTTGTTTGGTTAAGAGTTCTATTACTGCATTTTTTTCTAAATTTAAAATATCCATATTCCTCATTGCATTTTTTTGATAAGCTTCGATGTATAAATAAAAGAAAAGGCCATGTCTGCCTTTGTTGCTTATAGTTGAGTTAATTTCACAAAAAGATTTTTCAGCTGCAGATGCAAGCTCATCTAATGCTTTGGTTGAAATAGGCTTAAGAAAGGTGGCCTCATATTTTGCCTCCTTTAAAAAGACTGATTCGTCTATTTGGAGTTCTTTGGTTGAAAATGCTGTATAGGATTTATTAAGGTATTGTTTGTATAGTTTGTTGAAATTATGTTGAGTACGAGTTTTGGGTGAGTTTGTATTTTCTGTTTCAGGTTCAGTTGTGAATAATTTGTCTTTTTTTTTAAGTTCAATTTCTTCTAAGTATTGACAATGGTCATTTGTACAAGTAAAAATGTGATAATTTGCATGTTTAATGCATTCATCACGGCGTTCTTAAAAAGTGAGAGGCTCTAAGAATGGGACATCTGTTGGGATTTGTTCTTTAAGATGTGTAATAAAGGCCTGTCTAAAGTGATATTTGGGATAATTGGATACTTTTGTTTCAGTGAGAGTGTTAATGAATTGTAGGTTATATTTTAGAAAGATGGTTTTAAACCATTTATTAAAATGGTCTAGTGAGTTTTTTAAAGATGGTATGTTGAATTTTTGTAAGAATAAGGTTTTAGGGATATTAAAGTTGAGTTGAATATTGAATTTGTTATCCATATATATTTTGAGGTATTTATCATCTTTATCAATGTCAATAACTTGTGAGATAATTTTGAACCGTTTAGGACGTAATTTCATATCTTAAGCAAATTTGGTATAGTTAATTGTCTGATAGTTGTTTGAAAGATATAAATGTAAACGTGCAAGGTTAATACAGAATTGTAGACGATTTTGTGATTTGTATGATGGAATTGTAGCTGGCAAAGCAAAAATTTCTGGATAGTTGAGCTTAGTAAAAAGAATAGTTGTTAAAGCTAAAATAAGTTTTTTGAGTGTTTCTTCAAGGACTGGAAATGGGATAGTCAAAGTTTGTCAACATCTGAATTGTGTTGTCTTATAAAGTCTGTAAGAAATTGTGGTCTTTCTCCTGCTATTTTGTGAATAATTTGATAGAAACTCGCTTTAAGGGGTTTGCGGTTTCCTGTTGCTGCTTTTTTTTTTTTTTTTGGTGTTAAGGTAGGATCTTGCCCATGACATTATTTATTAATAATACTTTTACATGTATCATCACATTTTTGGTATTACATATATCAAGTACACCAAGCTCAGACCCGGATCCTATTGATAACCTACGTTCTGGCCAAAACCATTACTTGCGCGATAGGTGTCCCTATCCGCTACCGGCTACCGATTCAATTATCTGCAATCCAAACCTACCAGAGTGGCCATCATCATCGATGCACTCACCTGGTATTTTACCACCCTTTACAAGTTCTATTTTGGTACACTTCCCTATGATATCATTCCCTGCATCTCTCATACCACTTATATCTAAGCTCACAAATTTGGTAGTCCCTTCTGGGATATGGCCTTGTAGCCTCAAGGGCTACTTCCAATCTTGGTTATCTTCAGCTAGTCTGCTCAGGTAGTTTCATATAGAGAAACTCATGCTGGCCCAGGTTAAGCCTCATCATTAATGCCTAGTTTAGTTAGTATGCTGCCGATTCCTGTTACCTTATAAGTAGGTACTCCCATGTATTGGTGCAGGCTTGCTATATTGTGTTATAGGTTACCCCATAACTTCCAGATTGCAGATTTTGTATTACTTCTCTTCTATAATTTGAGCTATAGTGTTCCAGTACCCTAACATTTTTAGGTTACAAGGCTTTAGGGGTCTAGACCTAGTTGCGGCTTGTGGTCTGTAATACTTCTAATTTCAGTGTTTGGTATTCCTTATCAATTTCTGGTATACAAGCCCGATTTGTACAATTGTACTACCAGCCCAGTGAATTTAGCCATTTCGAGTTTTTACTACATACCCCAGGTTTTAGCTTTCTCGCTCTGTCCTCACAGATTTCTTCCTTAATAGACCAAGTGGCTTGGGGTCAGAGGTGCTTCCGAACTTCAGATGGACCAATCCTTTACCACAAGTTATCCTCATGTTCACCACTTTTCTCACTACTCCAGTTTTGTTACCGTCGTGTCACTCTTCCTATCAAGTACCACAACTGCTGAGGATGTTGGTGCTGCCCAGGTCAGCCTAATCGAGGACTAATATGCGCAATCTATGTGTAACAGAACCTTCTATGACACGTCATACGTAGTGCCACCACTTCAGATTGGACCTCCTTCTGGGAATTTCCTTTTCCGGTTTCATACTTGTACTTAGACTTAACTACAGGGCTCCGCATTCGATTATGGCCCCCTATTGGGTTACAAAAGCTAAAAATCCTAAGATTTTGCCTCCAGCTCGACTCAAACTGTTGACCTAGTCTGTGGGGGTTTGGCAGCTTAACCGCTAAGCTATAGGGCCCAAACCCTCCTGTTGCTGCTTTGATTTCCTTGCAGAATAGAAATCAAATAAGTGTGATTTAAGGAAAAAAAAGATTTTTTGAGCAAATTCAGTTTGAAGCTTAGTGTTTTCTTCCATTTCAGATGTAACTAGAAAGTTGGCTAACCAGTCAAATACAGGTTTGTTTGGGTTAGTAGTTTGATCTGAGTTGGTATTCTGCTGATTTAGATCATCTTGTTGAGTTGTATTTTAAGTTGTATTTGAAGAGATTGAGGATTGGTGTTGTTTATTTTCTGTTAGAGATTGTTGTAAAGAAGAGGTATTTTCTGTCTGTGGTAAAGGAAGTTTAGCTGTTGTGTTGTCTAGCTGTTGAGATTGATGGAGGTTTGTATTCAGTTCTTTTTGATGTGTAGTAGTGTTTTGGTTTGATTGTGTTTGAGAAGTGTTATTGTTAGTAATATTAGAAATAGTAGGTTGTGTTGATTGAACCTTATGGTGTCTAGTAGTAGTTATAAGTTTACTAGTTGGTTGTGGTTGTGTTGTAGATTGTTGTGTTTCTAGTGTTGGTTGTGCTTGAGTATTTGATGTTTGGGATAGTAAAGTTGATTGTCGAGATAATTGTTGTTGTTGGGTAGTTAAAAGATTGTTATTATTAAAGGATTCGTCAACTAGTTCCATTGCTAAGTTTTCTTTTAGAGGAGTTAGAGGGCTAAGTTCTGAAGCCAAGAGATTAAATGTATGGAAATCGTAAAGTGATTGTTTAAGTTTTGTAAAGAACTCCATATCTTTGGAGGATCCATGATATAGATCTGAGGTATTTTTTACACAGGATTTATGGCATAGTTGATCATCGTATAGCATAGCATCATTTGCTAACTGGTGACAGTTGTTATTAACTTTACAGTTAATTGGTTGATTACAAAATGGGCAGGTATTTTGGTGTAGTGTAGGAGATGAGGAAGAAGTTGGAGAGGGAGGAACCATTGCAGTAGCATCAGTGATTTTAAGAGCAAGTTCTTCTTTTCCTTTTTTGGAATTGAAAAGATTCTACCCTCTTTCCATTGTTTAGGAATTTGATTGGTAGTAATACATCTATTAAATAATGCTATAATAGTTTAAAGAAAAGGTAGAGATTAAAAAAAAAAAACTCTTTCTGCTTATCATCTGTACACAAAATTTGTCACAATAATTTTCAAGTTTTTCTCAATTTACGGAAAGTTTTATTATGTTAACAACCTCTTGACTCTTAATAACATTTGTTCATCTACTGTTTTTACATATATTTTTAAAGTTTCAAGTCTGTATCTCTCATCATTCTTGAGATATTCAATTTACAAGAACAGACAGACAAAACTCTGTTCTCCTCCTAAAGTTTTGCCTCTTCTGGCAAACTGGGCTTAATAATATACTGATACCTTATAATTGAATCTGTAGAGCTTATCTCTGGCTTCAAAACAACCTATATTACATCAAAACTGATCATTTTAGAATCAAAAATATCAAAACTCTTTTTTTTACTCTTTAGATTCTTAAAAAGTTCCTTCCTAGTTTACCCCATCAAAATCGTTTTTTGTGTAACATTCAGACCTGTATTTCCGATTTATTTACACCTGACCATACTAGAAACATAATCAATCCTTTTTTGGGCAATCCATTTTACAATTAATTTACACAAATTAA